ATTTTTCCATCCTTTCAACATAACTGAAAATAAAACAACTTCTTGTCATCTCTGTGGAGACTGCAATGTGGTCAACCCAAGCCTATTTCCACAAGCGGACTTAAAAACTTTGAGAAGCCTTCTACTGTGGATTTCAACTAATTGAGTGTCATGATTTAGTATTTTAAAAATAGTCTTTTTATCAAAAATACATTCTGGTTATTGAAGTTCGTATTAGTGACTCAACTTATGGAACATGTGTGTGATGTAAAATAATATTTCCAGTCTCATAATGTATTTTAATATAGAGGTAGATCTCACTGTTAAAGGTTCCATTTTTGATCTGTGAATGTAATATCTTGAGTAGATTGCCTTAATTCAGCTCAGGATACTTAGGGCCCCTTTGGTTTACTATTATTACCCTATCCTATTCGATTATCCTATCCTAAAAACTCAAATATGCATTTGTTTCAATATTTTCAAATTCCAGTTCTACTTTATTCAACTCTCAAAGCATTAATAATTACCTTTTTCGTAAAAATAACCCAATTTTACTTTTTCTAAAATACTATTCTAAAAAGCATCAGAATAGTGAACCAAGCAGAGTCTTAGCGTTTTAATTCAAGCATTGTGTTCTTAAGTGAATATTTTCACCTGTATATTTTCGATATCTTGAGATGGAGTGCTGCTCAATAATCTTTGTACTATTGTTAGTATAAATTAAAATTGCTTTTTTTTTTTTTTAATTTTTTTTTTAATTTTATTTTTTAATGACAATATCATTCAGGTTGCTTCAAGTGCATTAGGCTTTGGACCTCAAATGGCTATGCAGCTGGCTGAGCGCTTGTATACTCAAGGTTTCATCAGGTTTTCTCCATATCTTTTTCCATTTTGATTAACCTGCTTGGTCTTTTGCTTTATTTATTTATTTTTGTGATTGTATAAGTATACAATGTGATATCTGCATCTAAATTCTAGACTTGTATTCTCAAGGCTCAATTTGGTTTGATTTCATTGTGTGCTAGTGTGTGAGATGTGTGAAGACTTTTCTTGTATCAATGGACAAATTTGTGTCATGTAGGTGCATTTATTTCTAATTGGGTGTGGTTACAAGGATAGATGTGGTAAAGGTCTATTCTTCTATATCTTCTCCTTGTTCTCCTGCAGAGCAGGGATCAGATATGGAATAACTCAGTAGAGCAAGAATTAGTCAGATACATATTTTTTTTAGTTTTGGTCTTATTTTCTGACCAAAATTATGCTTGACGATGATTATCTTATGAAGCAAGCTGATACCAAATGGTAGGTCCTGGTTATGTTGTTGGGTAGTTCACATATTGAATCCACAATTGGAAATTTGTTGAAAAAGATGGAAGCTTCTGTAGTTCTAAAGGTTCAACTTTGTTGGATTCATTGAGTGCAATGTAAGGTAAGTGAAACTTTGGCGTATCAGTGGAGAAATTTGTCTAGTGTGCATTTGGCTAGTTCACATATGAAATCCGCAAATGGCAATTATTGATGATATGGAAAGTTCTTTACTTCTCAAGATTCAACTTCATTGCATTCATGTAATGCTGCTATGTTAGGTGAGTGAAGCTTTTGCTGTATCCGTGGAGAAATTCATCTAAGATGGGTGCATTTCTTGCTGAGCATTTTGGTTTGGGGGGTAGATGTGTTTAATTGGTGCATGCTTCTATACCTTCTCCTTGTTCTCTCACAGGGCCAGGGATCTACTGTTGTGTCTGAGAAACAATGCTTGTACATAAGCTGAATTATATTTGTAGGTTTGTCTCTCTAGAATCATGTTTGTGTAATAATTATTTTTGAGAAGAGAGCTGGTAACATGATGGATGGCCCTGGTCATGTTTACCAGTTCATGTTGTTGGCTTCTGTTGTTGTTGGATGTTTCTGTATTATTGCAGGTCATTTTCTTTTCCTGTTGAACATTGACAGGCATGACATGGGAGGTTTTAGGGCATCAAATGTGGATATTTTGTTGCACAAAAACTGTATAATATAACCTAGGAGATTTAACAGACAAAGAGGCTATTTTTTTGTGCTATAGAAGAATGTTTCACATCTAATTTTTTTGCGTTCTTGGTCAACTTTGACTTCTGGCACATAATATTTTTTTAATTTTCTATTTTATTTTTTGTGTTTGTTTGACAATTTGCAACCATTCAAAAATCATTGCTGAATTGGCCGTTTGAACATTTTTAATTTTTGAAATTACACACACAAGTAGCCTGTGCACCCTTTTATTTTGCTTTTCAATGAAAAAAGTTTTAAAAGTAATCAATTTTGTATTTCCTAAAATTATTGCATTACCTATCTATAATTTCTTAAATTTAGCTGACAAGGTTACTGTAGGTTATTTATATCAGATTATGCATCTAATTTGACATTGTAGGCTTCAAAGTTTAGGCTGTGGTGCTTTTTTCATGCTCAGGAAAAGTATGATTGATTTGGAATTGAAAACCATATGACAAATTAAGTTGGAGGTTCCTGATCGGACAAATCCTTGAACCTTGAGTAACCTTGTTTTGCAATGACATCTTGGCCATATGTGATTCAATCTGGGAATCTAATCCAAATATATCAGCATTTTGTTTGATCCCTTAATTTTTCATTTTAACTGTCATTTTTCTTTTGTCTCTGTGGAATATAATAATCATTATTGATCTTTATGCCACTCATCTAGCTATCCACGTACAGAAAGTACTTCCTACCCTTCTTCGTTTGATTTTCAAGGCACACTTAGTGCACAAGCAAATAGTCCAGTATGGGGTGATTATGTACGAAGACTCCTTGCTGAAGGTTATCATAAGCCGCGGTCTGGAACAGATGCAGGAGACCATCCCCCTATTACTCCAATGCAGTCAGCAACTGAAGATAATCTTGGCAAAGATGCTTGGAGACTATACCAGTACGTCTGTCAACATTTTCTAGGCAGTGTGTCTCCTGACTGCAAGTATGTAAGGTAAAGGCATTATTCCCTGACTCCAATTTAACAGTTTTAGTGCATTTTGTTTGACAGGAATGGGAATATCATAATGAGTTAAATTACCGCATAATTAATGAGTCAAGCTCATTTCTTAAGGAGAATTATGCTTATTCTCTTTCCTGTAGGATTCAAAATAAAAAAGTATCTTCAGCCATCTCCTCCACTACCCTTGGTGTTGAAATGATATTAGTGCTTCATTAATCTCAACATTAACACCCCTCTCTATCCCTTTCATCTTTTTTCTTATGTTCATGATTCCCACTGCCACACCATTTAAAAAGAAAAATAATTGGTGACCACAGCAACTTGCGGTTTTGTCTTAATATATGTAAAAGAGTAAATCTTATAAAATGTTTGGTAATCCTTAAAGTATTAATGAGTAAATTCTGTATAGCCCAATTTGAAATGTTTACTAATTACCATCTTGTGTACATAAAGAGAGAAGATGAGTGTTTTTTTTTTTTTGACGTTTCCATGTTTGGTTATTCCTATTTAGTGGTTAAACTAAATGAAAAAAAAGAATACATAAATCTTCCTCTTATAATGAATTGGCCAAATCATAATAATGGGAGTGGTAACTCTATAAAATGTATGGAGTGAGAATCTCATTCGTGTTCTACCCAATCCATGTCTACAATCAGAGCCTGACATGTTTTATTATTGTGCTGGTGGTTCACTCTTATTGTCTTGTAACGTCTTTTAGCTTTTTATGCTCTATTATGTTCAGACATAACCCTAGTGAGGCCTCATACTCTCTGTTTTCCTCACCATTTGCAATTTATTACAATGCATTTGGTCTTCTTGTTCTTAAGTTCTGTTCTGTAAATTTTTGCTTAGGCTCAAACATGTGCTTTACTTTCTAACATTATGAATTTCCCCCTCAATTATAACTTAGGAAGAAACTCATACAAATACTGTCCTTGATGTTTAGGTGTGCACAATGAGTCGTTCTTTTCTTTGCCAACCAAGACAATATATATTGATTACTGGTGGCAACTATATTTTAGTTGGTTCTTGACTGATATTGTTTGTGGCAGAATTACCATAAAGACTGGGAGGTCATATGCTTTCCCACTTTTAGGCTTGATGAGAAGATGCTTTAGTTAGAGAATCATCATTTGTAGCACAGATTGGCAAAAAGATAATTACTCTTAAAAATATGCAATTATTTCAAGATGTCAGATGATTTCTTTATCATAACTAGAGTGTTGAATCTCTTTCTTCATTTAGAAGTTTTAGTGTCTATTGTTAAGTGCTAATTAATGTATGACTAATTTCCTATCATGCGAGTCCTTTTTATTTATATGCTTATTGAGGAAGTAGGTAAAACAATTCTTTCGATACTCCAAAACTAATTGCATTATATTCATTAAATAATGAAAAATAATAGTCTTGTGCTTTGCATTGAAAGGACAATTTTCTTATATCTAGGTTTAGAATTAAAATATGTGAGAACCATGTTTTATGCCATGAAAAAATGCTAATCAATTTTGAGATAAAGAAATAGAGCAAGCAGAAAATATATACTACTTGCTTGTGACTTCTATATTGTAGCATAGTGTTAACACTTGCTGTCCATTCCAGGAAAAAGGTTAAATTTTCAATGGGTGGAGAATACTTCCATTGTGTAGGGCATCATGTTACAGTCCAAGGATTTACATCAATTATGCCATGGTTAGCAATAAATGAGAAAAATCTTCCTGAGTTTTCTAAAGGAGAGAAAATAGAAGTTTCAAGGGTGGAGCTGAAGGAGGTAGCTTTTTTTGCCACAGTTTGATATTTTTAAATTTTTTAGCTCAGGATTTCTACAATTTTCTCTGTTAAACTAGGAGTTTTTTCCTCCATAAATGGTGGGGAGGGGAAGGTTGACAAGGGCTCTAATGTGCTGCATTTTCCCCCAAAGAAAGGAGAGTGGGCATATGATAGTTGAAATATAATGATATAATTATCAGTATTACCAATGTATTTTTTTCAGTAAGTTACTGATTGATCCTGAGTTCCTGACATTGGCAGGGAAATACTGTAGCACCCGATTATCTCAGTGAGAGTGAGCTTATTTCCTTGATGGAGAAGAATGGAATAGGCACAGATGCATCAATACCTGTGCATATTAACAACATATGTGAGCGTAACTATGTCCAGGTTATAACTGTTAAACATTATTTCCCTACTGTTGGATATTTTTAGTGCATTTATATAGATAATTTACTTTGTTGGTTATGCTTCCAAGATTTTAGTATTCACTTTACATTCAATTCGCAGGTTCAAGCTGGCAGGAAATTGGTTCCTACTGCATTAGGTATCACGCTTGTAAGAGGCTATCAGTGTATTGATCCAGATCTTTGTTTGCCAGACATCCGAAGTTTCATTGAGCAACAGATAACACTTGTTGCTAAGGGTCAGGCAGATCATTCTCGTGTTGTGCAGCATGTGCTACAACAATTTAAGGAGAAGTACAGTTACTTTGTTAAGCAGGTTAAAAATCTTATCATTTGGTCCTTAAGTCTCAACTACTGGGACCTGGGCACACAATAATGCTTTTTGGATAATGTTTCATTGGCCTGCCATTTAGTTTGGCTAAAATAAATGCCACTGGTTTCAAAAGTCACAAGAAACCTCCCTAGTTATTCTGAAAACTCTGATATACCTCTCACTTAAATTCATTAAAAGAATGAGCCCTGCTTTTATATTAAACAAATATAAAGAGAATTCAACCAAATTAGCATCCTATTAGCTTCGATTTATGTGGCTTAAAAGTTTACTATGGATTCGCTGTACCATGTCATCCATTACCCAAATCTGAAAGCATTTCATTTATTTATTATTTTATTTTCTCAAAAATCTTAACTAACATGATTAGCATTTTTTTTTTAAAATTAATTATATATGAATGACGTAGTATACCTGATGTGTGATAGACTCTCCTAGGTGGTTGACAGTACTATTACATTAGAAAATGTGGACATGGATTTGTGAACTATTCATCTTGTCATTTTCCCATTTATTTGAATTAAAATAGGGAGTATATAATATATATATTTTCTTATGTTTGATTGGGAAACAAATGAAAAATCTTAGTTGTTTCTTCATTTTCCTTGGCGTATGTGTTGGATTTCCTTTTCCCTTAAGCATTCCACTCTATATGTTCCGTTCTCAATGTTTCACCATGAGAGCAATATGAAGTAAATCATTTTTAATATGGTATAAGAGCCTTAGATCCCAGTTGCTGCAGAGAGTAACGATCATGAATACTATCTCAATCTTTTGCTAAACTTTAGAATCCATTTCATCACACCTTATACTTCCTGAGAAGAACCAAGTTTCATTCATTGTCTTTTTCTCTTTTAACAAGCCCTAAAAAACAAATAAAAATAAAAACTAATTGTTACTCCAAGTCTCATCCACTACTTGTGGATATTTCTGAAACTTGCTGGAATAGTGTCCAAAATATCTCAAAAGCCACCTATATGTCCATGTCTACCCTTTGTTAAGGTCTTTTTGTCTGCACTGTAAGTCAAGTTCAAGCTTTATTCGTTCAGGGTATTTGCAAAGTTCTGAATGCTATGGACTTAATTAAAAATATTAAAGTGCCAGTCTACAGGATTTCAGTTACTACTAGATCAAGTAAAATTATTCAAGGTTCGTCCTACTCGACATTGTGATTGTTTCATATTCTAGTTTTTACTAATCAATTTGCTTTCCCTGTTTTTGTTGCAGATTGAAAACATGGACGCACTATTTGAAGCACAATTCTCCCCACTTTCTGACTCAGGACGTGTTCTCAGTAAATGCGGTAAATGCCTGCGGTATATGAAGTACATTTCTACCCAACCATCACGGCTTTACTGTGCTACATGTGAGGACGTTTATAATCTCCCTCAAAAGGGTACCATTAAGGTAATATGTTTTGTATCTACAACCTATTCGTGATATTCAATTTGTACCTAGCTCAAGAGAGCTTTTTCCAATTGAAAATATAAGACCTGGTTTCATAGAATGTTAACATAATAATTTTCTATTTGATTACATACTGTCAATCTTATCCTGGCTTTCCTGTCTCGGTGGAATTGGTGGAGATGCTTTTACCTTCATGTGCATATTGTTTTAGAAGTGTTTGTGTCTCTTTTGTTTAACTCCTGGTATATTACTAGTCACAAAGTTGGGCCATATATCTCATCTCTATTGGTAGTGACCTAACCAGATATATTTTAAGCTTAGTTCGACTAAAAAATGTAGTATGTAGCAAATAATTGTTTGATAAAGTTGTATGGATTTAATTACATCGAAGTTTGTAAGTGAAATATTCAGTTAAAATTAGAATTTCCCGTCCAATAAAACGTAAGATAAATTAATTTAAGGGGTGAATCAGTATAGAATTCCAATTTCATGCTTAGAATGTCCTGAAGCAACCTACCTCCAATTCTCATTCTGTTAGTGTATTTTTGAAAATTGCTTTATGAACCTTTGCTGAACATATTTTTCTAATCAAAATACATTCTCAACTAAATGCATTTTCGGATTATAAAACAAACCGATCCTTGTGTTGCGTAATTATTTTATGAAAATGTGAACTATAGTTGCCTTTGTTTGAAATTGTTCTGGTTTTTTAACTTGTTTTTTGTGTCTGACATCAAATCTGTTAATTCAGATCATAAATCTTCAGTCCTATAAGTTAACAGTGGTTACTTTTTTCTAGAAAGAAGGATATGAAATTTCCAAGTGATTTCATAGGGCTTTACGTTCTGCTCTTTTCAAAATTATCTGTCTGGATGACTTTGTTCTTTCTTAGCTTCCTGTGGCTACTAGCAAGCACTCTAGCTCCGAAAGCTAATTAATTTTATGTTTTTTTCACAGCTCTACAAAGAGCTCACATGTCCTTTGGATGGCTTCGAGCTTTTGATTTTCTCCATGGCTGGTCCAGAAGGCAAGTCTTTCCCTCTCTGCCCATTCTGCTACAACAATCCTCCATTTGAAGGTGTAGACACACTCTTTGGTACTACTAAGACCAATATTTCTGGCAAGTTTGGTAAAGAAGCGGGTATGCCATGCTTCCTCTGTCCTCACCCAACATGTCGGCACTCTCTAATAGCTCAAGGAGTTTGCGCTTGCCCGGAATGCAATGGTACTTTGGTTTTAGACCCAGTAAGTGCTCCCAAGTGGAGACTTTATTGCAATATGTGCAATTGCCTTGTCTTCCTCCCTCAAGGTGCACACCGAATTGCCACCACTCGTGATCAATGTCCTGAATGTGATTCCACAATAATAGAAGTGGACTTCAATAAGAAAACAACGCCTTTGGATGATGGCGCTACATTGCATATTGGGTGCATTCTTTGTGATGAGTTGCTTCATTCTCTCATAGAGGTGAAACATGGTAGATCGTTTTTCAAACGTTTAGGTGGTAGGGGAAGAGGAAGAGGTGCAAGGCGAGGCGGATATAAAGGAAGAGGACGAAATACTGGGAAGATGGTGGATCCTAAAATGAGTTTTCGAGACTTTTGAAAGCGTTTAGTCTTTCACCTGTGTATTTGATCTTAAATTGTTTTCAGCGTGCAGTTGATTTTATGAACAAAAATTCTGAAACTATTAACTTGTTCAGCTTTTGAAATTATCTCCTTGGTGGAAACTTTGTTGATGTCATAAACAATTGGTGTAAACTTTAGTGAACAAATTTAATTTCAGCAAACGAATTGATTGGCCGTTGCAGCCAATGCACTTTTTACCTTGAGGAATAGGGAGGGATATTGCCATGCTAGAATATGAAATTGTTAGGTATTTGAACCCCATCAATCTCTTGGGAATCCCATTTTTTAAATAAAATTTAGAGTAATGCTATTGATATCCCTTTTTTTAATCTTTTTGGAACCTAATTTGAAATTTAACTTAGTAAGATTTATAAATAAATATAAACAAACCTCGGCCATTTATAAAATAATCTTTTCATTTCAAATATTATACTTTATCAATTTTTATATCAGGGCTACTCAAAATCCAATCAGATCCAATTAATCCGGTCCAAACCGATCCAATTTTGATGATTTAATTGGATTGGATGAAAATTTTGAAAATCTAATTGGATTGGATATGTTGTTAGATTTGCCAAGTAAATCCAATCCAATTATATAACTTTATAAATAAAATAAAAAAGCCTAGGGTCAACTAAGTAAATATCTAAATTTAAATTATAATATTTGACCTAAAAATATTAAGGTTGTATGCTAATCTTTGCCAAAGTAATTAAACCTTTAACTTGGAGGTAAATATTTTAGGGCATGATCATTTTCCATTACGAGTTGCAGACTTGTAGTTGCATCATACCAAGAATTGAATCCCATTCTTTTACTTTCTTTAATCTAAGGCAAGTCTTTGTCTTGTTTTATATTTTCATGGCTCACAAAATAGATTTTTCTTTTCTTTACAATCATTTGGTCTTTATCTACAAGCGAGTTTGGGTTTTACAATTTTAATATTAGTTTCTTCAAGATGGCTTTTATCCTGTAAAGGTGCTTGGTTAATTATTTTCATTGAAATTTTAGATTAAAATTACATTAAACTATGTGACTATCGTTATTATCAACAACATTATAAAAAACCCAGCACATAAAACTTTCTCAACACGCCTCAGCCTCACTCCAACGGCTCTTTTATACCAGACTCAAAGTTTTCCTATTCTACTTTCTTCTTTATTCACTAATTCTTATTAAGTTACGCTTTTGCACATAAATTCATCAATTTTTCTCTGCTCTTTTCGTTGATTTTATTATCTTTTGATCCCAAGATCTTTCAAACTGAAGTTACTCGATTTTGAAGGGTTTATTTTGTTTTTTAAGTGTTTGTTGTCAAGTGTTCTGTAATGGGTTTGCTTTGTTTCTTTCCTAAAACATTTGTAGTTTATTCTGGGCTTTAGTAATATACTAATAAGTATCCTGTGATGAGTTTGTTGTGTGCTCAGTAGGGAGATATTTGTAATTTATTTTGTTTCATAGTGTTTATTGTTAAAATGTTTTGAAATGGGTTTGGTTTGTTTTCCTTGTTGGGATTCAGAGAGTCACGGATATGGTGTTTTTCGTGGATGATCTGCACCTTTTGGCTGCTATGAGTGTGGAGGGTAGGGGTGTTCAAAAGAACCGGTTGGAACTGGAACTGGCGGGTACCCTGGGTTTGGTTCCGGTTCCTACCCAGAACCAGTCGTCAATGGGTAGGTTCCGGTTCCAAATTTTTGGAACCGTTATTGTGCGGTTCCGGAATTGGAACCAGGAACCAGGAACTGAGACTAATATAAAATAAAATTAAAGATAGGGGGGTTAATAAAAACTTTTGTAGAAAAAGTAATGTGAATACATTTATATTTATATTTTATAACATTTAAAGTAAGTTGGTTTGACTTTTGAGAATCTACCTTTACAAAGTAATGGAGTTTGTAATTTTGAATACATTTATATTTATATTTCATAACATTTAAAGTAAGTTAATTTGACTTTTGAGAATCTACCTTTACAAAGTAATGGAGTTTGTAATTTTGAATTTATAATTTGTAATTTTATTTTTGTTAACAAGTGTCAGGTGGGGGGGTATTTGTAAGTTTTTAAGGGTTTTGTTGCAATTTTAAAAACTTTTGGGGGGTGGTGGGGGGTATTTGTAAGTTTTAAGGGTTTTGTTGCGATTTTAAAAACTTTTGGGTGGTGGTGGGGGGTATTTGTAAGTTTTTAAGGGTTTTGTTACGATTTTAAAAACTTTTGGGGGGTCACATAATTTTACAGGGTACCCAAAACCAGAACCGGAACCGTTGTTACAAGTTCTGGTTCTGGGTACCTAGGAACCGGAACCGTCGGTTCCGGTTCTGGTTCCAAATTTCAAGGAACCGTCAGTTCCAGTTCCTTCAAAAAGCGCAGGGTACTCGGAACCAAACACCCCTAGTGGAGGGGTGAGTTTATGTCTGGAAGATATGTGAAGGTCCAGATGAACAAGATAAGCCACAAATTACAAGCTTTTTGATAAGAATCAAAGCCCATTGTGTTATTTAAACATGCAAGATTGTTCATTGAAGATTCAAGAAGCCATAGCCTTACAAGGAGGACAACGTTCGGCCCAAGTACTTAAGAAGGCTCACAAACTTGTCCAAGATATGTTAAAGGTCCAAGATATGGCACAAACCCTTTTGTGTAACCCAATCCGTGGAGATCAAGAGGGGAGAAGCTTAATTGATCCAAGCCCAATGTGTGGATGCTATTTGATTCAATTTGGGTGAAGGAAAATTAAGTAAAATACAATTAGGGACATAAATCCTTAATTTAAGAAGTGGTTGTCCTTTGCATTAAATGGGTATGATTTGCATTTTGTTATTGAATGGTGAAGAATTAGTCTTTAATATTTTTGTGTAAGGTTTTGTAATATTTATTAAGACATTTCTCAACTTTTGTAAGGCCTATATAAAAGCCACTATTTCATAATATGAATTAGACAATGAATATTGAATGAATAGTGTTCCCATGGAGAATTGTCTTTCTCTTCTTTGAATTCCTTTACCCAAGTTTCGGCCAAGCTTGGTGGTAGATTGATTTTCAAGCCGGTGGAGTTCCTTTAAGCTTGAATGATCCTTGGCAATCTATCTTGTAAGTTTTTCCCATTTGGTTACCATTCATCTCACTTTTCGGGTTTGGCTTGTTTTGTTGTGTTACAAATTTGTGTTGTACATTTCAAGTGGAATGAGTTTGTGTTGATTGAGGCTAGATAAAAGGTGTTGTTCTAAAGTGTTATAAAGTGTTCTGAATCTTGGGTTGTTTTGCATTTTCAAATGTTTTTTGGGTTTTCTACTTTTTAATTTTTTTTTGTTTTTTTGGATAAGTAAGCTTTTATAGAAAGGGGAAAGAATGTACAAAAGGCCTAAAAGTCGGCCAACCTACCTCAAGACAAGCCCTGGGTTAGCAGCAAAGGAATGATACTATCTAAGTCTACCCCTAATCTTCTCTTTTTCCCATTCCTCTTGTCAAAGGAATGGAACCAAGTGGAGATTAAAGAATACAATGAATCCCACCTACCACAGGACATGCCCTGGGTTAGGTTCAAAAGTATCAGAATACAAAACCCATATGCATAAGCATTAACAAGAAGAATTCCATAAACATGGACATTAACAAGGTAAGGCCCGATAATGACACAAAGAGAAAACACTACATCAATACCCCAAGTTAGCTCCCTTGGGATGTTTTAAAAATAGACATGGGGAGACCCCATTTCTTGGCAAGTCTTCTATTGTAGGTATACTTTATGATCTTGCTAAGGTCCATAGGTCTCTCCCTCACCACATTCTTGATGGAGTTGTAGACAGTATGTGCATCCTTGCATTCCTCACCCAAAATCTGGCTATTCCTCTCTCTCCAAATAGAGTAAATGGTGGCTCCCAAACTTAGCTTCCCTATAGAGTACTTTAGCTTATTCTTTCTCCACCTACTAGCTATGTGCTCAACATAATCGTTCCAAGGCTGGGTGACATACCCAAGAGAAGAGAGCTCAAGGATTTGGTTCCAAATCCTTTGGATGAAAGGACAAGCAAAAAAGAGATGATCAATCGTTTATTGCCCATGATTACAAAAACAATACACATTGCTAGAAGCTATTCCATACCTCGTCAGTTTGTCCTTAGTCTGAAGTCGATCCTTACATGCCATCCACGTGATCATGGAGTGTCATGGAATAGCTTTTGGGAACCATACAAGGTGATGCCACTCCACTCGGTGTTGGTGCACACGAGTAACCTCCCAAGCCGATTTTATAGAGAACTTATCGGATGCATTAGGCTTCCAAACAACCACGTCCTCGCCCTCATTTGGATCAAAGTCGATAGAATCCTTCATGTCCATCAAAGCCCAAGAATTAGCCGTTGGCCATCTCCACCTTCTCCCATCCCAAATCTCACACACCTTAGCAAGATGATGTAGCCCCGAATCATACACAATGCGACTGCCATATCTATCCTTGAGAGGGCCTCTTGGGTGCCAATTATCATGCCAAACATAAGTGATATGAACTCCACCAACAATTGTGATGAAACTCGATAACAATGATGGTTTGGAACCCCAAGATCGTGTAGACAAGATTTGTTGAGCCTTGACCCATCACCTAACTAGATGAAAACCAAGACTACGAAGGATTGAAACGCCACACCAAGAAACCTAAGAATCTCTCAAGAATCAAGGTGATAAGTTTGGTTGTTTGAACGCCACAAGATTAACTTGATAAGTTCAAGAGTTCTTTCAAGAACAGAGAGGAACACAAGACCTCACAATGATAATAATTTTTTGAAAACCAAATCTGTCCATTAAAATTCGTAATGCTCATCTATATACTTGGAACAACCCTCCAAGAATAGGAAAAGTCATAACTACAACTTTAAAAGCAACACAAACATCAACATAAACAAGTCCCCACGTTTTAGGCCTCTTGGACTTCTAGAGGCAACCGAAAAATAACTAAATGACTAAATTCAATGTATTTAACATAACTAGCCAAGACCATCAGCATTCCCCTATTTAATATCCTTGAAACTCAACAAATTCACGCCCTTTAATGGTCAGACCATGCTGGTCACGTTTTTGCATGCTAATTAGCCTCTTCAATTGCTTTGATGACATGGACTAAGCCTTGATTATTATTTGAGCCCATCTTGGTCTTTTTAGAATCAGCCCAATTCTCTTGGATTAGCCCATTTAGTGCTTCCTTGAAACGTTTGGCTCTAAGTCTTGTAATTGGGCCACTAGGAAGTGACAA